TGGAGTCTTTGGATCCTTTGGAGTCTTTGGATCTTTTGGAGTCTTTGGATCTTTTGGAGTCTTTGGATCTTTTGGAGTCTTTGGATCCTTTGGAGTCTTTGGATCTTTTGGAGTCTTTGGATCTTTTGGAGTCTTTGGATCTTTTGGAGCCGCTCCGTTGTTTGATGCAGCCTTGATTTGGGATAAAACACCGAGTGGGTCAAAAGTTTCATCCAGATTAGTAGCATCTGTAGGCGTATCCGGTTTTGTTGTCGCAGCAGGATCTTGCTTTTGTACAATTCCATTCAATTCCTTAAAGGATGGTTTTCTGCCACATAAGAAACTCGGTTTTCCATCTTGGTTGGTATTTCTCTCAGCAGTTCGATATTGCTTTGCGATGTTAATTAAATCTTTTTCCCTCGTCTTTCCATCTGCAATCGTCGTATCAGCGCCCATTTTTTTCGCAAAAAATACCAAGTGATCTGCCACGACTTGTTGTCTGCAAGCAGGCTTAGCGGCAAGAAGAGCATTCACGGCTTCGCCAGACATTTGTCCAACTTGTCCGGCAAAATTAGTGCCTTGAGCACTGTCCCGCATTTTTTGGTAGAGTGGTTCAACGAATGCGGAGTGTTCTTGACCAAAACGACGTTTTTCGAGTGGAGCGGCATTTGAAAGAAGGGCCATACTAAGAGCCACTGTAAGAATTGCAGAAATCTTCATGATTGAATATTTGGCGTTTGATATTTGGGGGGTAATTTGATGGTTGTGTTGGGGTAATTTGATGGCTGTAATTGAAGAGTAAAAAGCTAGCTCAACTATGCTTTGTGGTTTAAAGAAAGACGGTAAACAGCTAGATCGTTTGATTTTTTTTTTATCTTTAGAAGCAACCCAGTGCTTTTGGAATTCTTGTTGTGGATTCTGGTCAGTCTCTTGGTATATTTATACCTTAACGTAACTCATTTGCGTCGTTAAAATTGGTATGATTTTATTGTTTCATTTAAGCGATTAATTTATTATTATCCATTGATCATCAAACAGGATGTAGGTGATCCGATGGCTTGCAGGTTGGTAGTCGTGCAAGTTTAATACTAACTATTTTATGTCGGAGCGTCATAATAACATAACCATAATAGTGCACAATATTTCCCCTGTCGTTGCAAACCGAAATTTTAAGATTATTTAATGCAGCAGACGTAACACGACAGCGGAGACTAAAGGCTCCAATTGCCGTTCCCGTTATCATTTTTATTAGATCGCAGATCCTGGATTCTAATGGCAATAATTCATATTTTTACCCCAGGAAAAAAATTCGTATCAATGATCCTGTGCTTCAAATTGCAGCATTTCGATCTTTAATTACTTCGATTTTCAAAATACTACGAAAGTTAAACCACAGTAAGACCTTTTAAATTACAAGAAAGTTTATCAACAAAAGCCTGTACGAGATAGATTCGGTCAGCGGTGTGAAATGTATGACATCTTGCAATATTAAAGACGTTTTATGCTGCAGGCCACAATACGTAATGTTACTTATGCAATAGATACACATTTTCCGCTTAGTCTTGCATATATGCATATTAAAATTTTGACCTATCGGATCTAATCCAGATTTTATGCAGTAGACGGAACTTCATTGCATAAAATTGTGGCATCATCATGCAAAGAGAAATTACTAGCAAAAACCTATATTTCATACAGCTATCATTGTTTCAGATACACCATTGAAATTGATAAGATGCGTTCTTACAGGAGAATTCTACTTGTTCACACATGCTAGCTAATCTTTAAAATGTTTATCAACCGATTGTAATTTATCTATTCATATTGTATTTAATAATTGTAGCAGAAAGGCATTTCTTTATTATCTGTTCTATCAAGTTAGTTGTAATTACTGTCGATCGGCTCCTTTGTTCGTTTCTAATTATTTGTCTGTAAGTCTATCACTAAAGATAACAACGTGCATATCACAACAAATATTTACTTCATGACGAAAAATCAATTACAATGTTTTAGCCAAAGAACACGGTGCTGCCGAATTACTAGTAAGCACTTTAGCCTTTGTCTTTCGGGTTTAATTTGTGTTTCAAATTTATCGAGTTTGTACCGTTGTTGTTAGTATCGGAACAATTTAATATTTAATATTTAATATTTAATATTAATATTAATATCACCCCATATCAAATATTCGCATGGTTTCCAGCTTTGGAAATTGACTTTGAGTTTTGGGTATCAACCCCTGTTGCATTATCGTCAACCCTTTTATGGAATACGTATAATGCTGTGATACACTATTGATATGTTCGAGAAAGACCTGTTCTGAAGTAAGTTGCAAACATGTAGAAACCAAAATTTGTCACTTGTCAAGTTTATTCGTCTATGGTCATAAAGTTGTGCACACTTGCAAGTTGCAGTTATAATTGTTTGTTTCAGAATAGTCACTTGAAAGAGAGTGGTTAAAATTTTCTGCCCAAGACAAATTAACTTTTTAATTACGGCCTAACTATTAGTTGTTAGCGAGTTAAGAAACCTGCAAGTATTGCTGTCAGAACATGTCATTTTTCTTTAACCGGACTGGTCAATTTAATATATTACAGAAAACTTTAACATTTTAAGTAAAAGTAACGATTAATTAGAATAAGAATAACCACTCTTTAACTTATACAGTAATGACGGAAGCAATTATGCAATTACTTTAGCTAAAGTTTACATGCTCCCTGTTTGTTTACTGTGAAAATTTTTGATATAGAAAGTTACATCAAATAACAAATAATATTTGAACAACAACGCGTTTCTTGTTTAATTTCATAATTTTTGCTATAAAAAACGCCTAATTAACTTACTTTGACTCAAATATGAAAAATTGGAATTAATAATGTATCTTAGCTTGATAAGATAACACGTACTCCCATATCAAAACCTTTAGTATTAACTTCCATTAAACCGAAATTACGTCCAGGAAGGCCCCCCAAAAAAAAACTTACTGCAAAAAAGTGCTAGATTTAATCGTTTACTGAAAACGTGAATAGTAGTTTTATCGAAAACCCCATCGGGCTAATAATCTAAAGCACACAGCGATAATTGTTTCGACATTGTAAAAATATTCTCTTTTTACTTTGGAAAGACGTTAACGAGAATGTGAATACTTCATATGATGTAATCCCATTAATTTTAATAACAGATTAGCTAATTACAAGCAATTTCATTGTGGTTTTTGCTTTAATGCCAATTAAGCTTACACATGTCAGGCTGGTGACGTTTTTTGAAGACACCAAGTATGAACATCGTCACCCTCGGCCGTAGAAGAGATCCGATGATAAATGATTAGTTATAAAATGCCTATTACCATGCGTTGTAGGTCAATAAATTTAAAGTAATATTAATATGCATGATCGTATAAAATTAATTACGGTTGAACTTTAATAGTGTTCAGTCGTCTCGTATCCATGCAAAGACGTCCATGAGTGATAGACCACATTTTGTGGTTAATTTGATTATTCGGTCTTTATTTTGAATGGATATCATGTCCTCTATCTCAACGGTCAGTTGCTCGATACAGTACTGTCACGTCTAGGACACTTTTACAATCCATTCTTGCCACCCCCCTAATAATGCAGTATTAACAAACAGATCACAATTTATTGTTATTATGTCTTGCAAAGAATAGAAGTTTTTTAATACAATATGGTCTCGTTTGCACATAGGTTGTTATTAATCATGCAACCGAACGCTAAAAGCCTTAATGACATTATTTAATCAAATTAGCAAATAGCAAGTAACAAAAAGATCGACCGGCTCAATGGTGATAGAGTTGATTAAGTGTCATCATTTGACAAGCTCTTTTGATGGCTGATTGTATACATTTGGTCTCGGCTTCTCGATCAGACATATAAGCCTTTTCAGTCTTACTCGCCAAATCGGTCCCGGTAATTTGTTGTGTCTGAGTCTCAGTTCGGATCCCAAGTACTCAGGCCAGACCTGAGACAGGTCCCCAACTGAGGTAAACATATTCAATATTTAAAGAAAGCCGAAAGCAAATATGAAAAATTTGCTAAATATGGTGATCCGAATAATAGTCCAGCCAAAAAGACCAAATTAGCGATTTTGCCATTTAAACGTTTCAAGTTTCAGAGAAAACATTGTTATGTCCTAATAAGGAAAGTTAGTTAACATTTTAGTATTGCAGGTCGAAATAGTTGTGTTACCGCGAAGTGCATTAACCTAGCAACAAGTTAATATTGTTTTCTAGGTTTGTCAAAGACGCTATTCAGAACTAGTAAGTACATCAAGAAACTGAAACTAAATATACAGTCGCGAATGCATGGAACCATAACATAACGCATGCCACATGCGTTAACTTTGGAATGACTTATTTGTCGGCATTCTTCCAGTAATTATTAATAATATCGCATCATTGACAATCATGTGATAAAGCCATATTTAATTAATAAAGATGAAAGAGCATTCGCCTTCCAGATTTGTATATTTCAATTGCAAGTAAGTAGATCTTTCAAATTCATTTGTCTGAAACTTATGTCAATCGGTCTCCGAGTATCACTAATAAATCTGTTCTACTTAATTACTTTTAATGCTTTGTCGTATAATTCCAATTTATTGTATTAATTCAACTAATGTGGTACGACAGTAAATGACAAGAATTTGAATGGTTAGACATCGGTAATGCTACAAGCATAGAGAGTCTCTTATAGTGTATACGATAAAAAATTCAATTCTGGCTCATGTTACATTTTTCAGTACACAAGCGTTGCTATGGACAATGGATGTGTTTTGAAGCGATTTCTGACCAATGGGTGATTATTATAAAATATTTTTTCGCTTGCAAATTAGAATAGATAATATTTGAATTTCTTTGGTAATTTAATACATTTACTTTTCTAGTTACAACAAACAAATTACCATCAGCTACTATCTGTGGTTTTCATTTCTCTCGTTCCTGTTTCTGTTCCGATTTTTCTCCCTTTATAATTTGGTTTAAATGCATAATTTAGGTAATAGAAATTGGGAAAAAATGGACACAAGATGGCTCCATTTTTGTTTCTCTCAAAATTTATGCATAAAGATAAACAACACGTATTCGATTGTGAAATGTCAACTCCTACAGATGTTAAGGCGAACATCAACAGGTGAAGGGCTGAAAATATACAGTGTGCCTGTTTAAATAGCAGCAAAGACTTATTATCCATATACATAATGATATTAATTTTTATGTATTCTTGAATATGTGATTGCTAGTCAGTTGTGGATCATCTACGCATTTAGTGTCTGAAAAATCAAATCGGTAAAGACAAAACGTGCGCATATACAATAAGAAAACCGGTAAAAAGCATTTTTTAGAAAGAAAATACAGTTATACGTTTGGTCTCACTCCTCCAAAAGAGAAAAGTATCCAAACAATGTTCTAGATTACACGTCCGGCCTTAATACAGTCAAAGCTCGCTATAATATAACTACGTTACAATGGAATCGCATTGTAAAAGAACTTTTTCGCGTTATTAGCTATTGGTCTATTCACAATTAATGGTACAATGGAGTAGTGCTTCAGTTAATAGGGATTAAACTCATTATTATTATTATGATTGGTTGATTAAATTGGGTATAAAACGGACATTCAGCACTTATCTCATAGGAAATGTCTAACGCTAAAAACAATGCACAGAACATTAACTATGTCTTGACCAACGAGTAGCGGACTTGCATCGAAGTACAGAATCAATGGAAAAAACCGTTTCGAGATGATATCTTTCTGAATACCGTAAACTCTCATGAATAAGGATTAAGACTTTGTTGCTGCAATATTGAATGCAGTAAAGATTATGACCAAGTCTTTTACTTGCAAAGTATACTATCGACATTCATCAACTAGAAAATATCATTTCACACTAATAAAATTACGCGTGTAATTATAAGAAATTATGTAACAAAGTACATGTTATCATGGAGCTCATGCTATAACGGAGTTCATCCACTTTATATTATAACGAGCTTCAACTGTAGCGCTTTAAAGGATAAGCTGCCTAACCTCGTTCGTATACATGATAATAAATAAACGACTAGTAATAACAATGAAAACTCGAAAAAAAGTTTTTCATTATTATAGTCTATTATCTTCCTTATATTCTTCGTTTAACAGTTTGTATTTCTTAGCTTTGACTTGTCGATATGACTGCAACGCGTACTCTTAATTCATAAGATTAATATGGAGTGTTAATTCTCAGTTTACCAACAGTAATAATTCTTTAAACCATATTCTAAGAAATATTTTGAACATTCCTGTGATCTGAGGATTTGACAATTACTGGATTTGAACACGGAATTATGAAATAGCACCAAACCAAAACAGGTATGACAGAACGGATAATTATGCCCCAATTAAACGCGTGGGGAGGAGGAAAAAAGCATGTCGGAAAGTCCTAGAGCTACAGAAGGAAAGCGGAAACCTATTAGGTAATGTAAATGCGCAAGGACGAGATTGAGAGATAGTGCGTCGCCACTAGGAACGGCTTATTTTTGAAACTTTACAAATTCCACACCAGCTACGTGGATAATAACAATATGCATTACGAACGATTTTTATTAGGGTTTGGGTAGACGGTTGTTTTGATCTAATGCACTATGGCCATGCCAATGCTTTGCGCCAGGTACGCCCTTTACATGTTGTTCGTTACTCATGATCATGTGGCGAGTTCAAAGTGTTCTTGGCTGTCCAGCACTCACTTAGTATTGACCACCATTAGGCGAAAGTTATGGGTGATTACCTTGTAGTTGGCGTGCATTCGGATGCAGAAATTGAACGTAACAAGGGTCCGACAGTGATGCGAGAAGATGAGAGGTTTGTCGTACTCTTTAAGGTTTCCGAAGGGGAGAGTTAATCTTTTCTCCAAGATCAAATTACGATTATTCCTGCTATCCACATTCCCATTATGTCATTTCCGTATCCGGTCTATCCGCTCATCGTCTCCACTTCCCCAACACCATTTTTTTGCCTGCAAATATTATGTTTAGGTATGCAGCAGTAGCCGCTTGTAAATGGGTAGATCTTGTAGTTCCGGACGCACCATACACTACCAGCGTTGAAGTAATGAAAAAATATGACTGTGATTTTTGTGTACACGGCGATGACATAACCACAGCAGCGGACGGTAGTGATTGCTACCAAGAAGTAAAGGAAGCTGGACGCTATCGTGAATGTAAACGCACCCAAGGCGTGTCCACAACTGAGCTTGTTGGTCGTATGCTATTAATGACTCGTGATCATCACAAACGAAATGCAAGTGGAAGTGCTCTTGCTTCCGTGTCCAACGAAGATTTAACTACGTTCAGTGGCGGTTCATCAAGGCAAACTCCAGTGACAAAGGTGTCGCATTTCCTACCAACTAGTCGGAGAATCGTACAGTTTTCTGAAGGTAGAGAACCAAAGCCAACAGACAAGGTCGTTTATGTTGATGGAACTTTTGATTTGTTTCATCTGGGGCATATCGAGTTTCTGAAGAGAGCTAGGGCTTTGGGAGACTATCTTCTCGTCGGAGTACATGATGATCAGGTGAATGGTTTATAAACAACTATGTTGAGAATTGACGGCTTATACAGAATGAGCAATCGCCGTTTGTTGTGGTATGCAAAACACTGGTTAATTGCGTATTATGTCTCTATTTAGATTGTAAACGCTATTAAGGGAGTCAATTATCCTCTGATGAATCTTCATGAACGTGTTTTGAGTGTTCTGGCTTGTAGAGTGAGTGTCGCTGTCCGTTTTTGTGATTCGATTATAACTTTAATATTGATTTTATTTGCTACTCCCCATGGAAAGTACGTAGATGAAGTCATAATTGGGGCTCCATACAGCGTAACTGAGGATGTACTTTCTAAAGTATATAAAGTCGATATTGTTGCACATGGGAATACTTCAACGTTTCCTGATCTTGACGGTAAAGATCCTTATGAGGTGAGATTCGTTGAACGTGAAGTAATGGTTGCATATTATAATGAAGGTTCTATAAACTCATGTAATCTTGTTGCGTGTTTGGTCATTGATCTAGATTCCTAAAAAGAAAGGCCTTTACGTTGAATTAGAGAACCCATCAGCCAATATTACAACTGCTGATATCATCCAACGGATTATAGAACATCGACAAAGGTACGACTATGGTCTGATATGACGAGCGATTTGGTGATTTTCGGTTAGTAACCTTTTGTTTCCTGACCAGATTTGAAGAGCGTCAAGCACGCAAGAGTAATAAAGCAGCACTCGAAACAGAGGCAGAGAGGCTGTTAAAAGGTTCTTCTGTTTCATAGATCGAACAGAACTACCATCTTTATATAAATGATGCAGCTCGAGGCTGACTAATAAATAACACGCTTTATTTAATCTTCCACCCGTTAAGACGAAGTTATACTCGCTAAATCATTGCTAATGCACTTAACTCATGTAAATTGTTCCTTACACCACGTGATCGCAAGATTACTTACGTCGCGTATTTCTATAAGCAGATCCTATTCCCGTGACATGATTTGTCTTCGAGAATTAGTTTAGGTATATGTCAAACATTGAACGTTTGTATTTTAACATGGAAGATAGCTCCTCGGAAGCTAACAATTGCCAGCCGTTGCTGGTTAAGAGGATGAACGAAAGGGCAAGGTTGCCTACGCGAAGTTCACCCAATGCTATTGGTTATGATGTTTATAGGTAAAGGTATAATAGCTCTAATGTGCAATGCATGCTCGACGCCTGCAATTAAACGTAGTTATGATCTTAATCATCTATCACACAGTTCCACAAACGTGGTTGTTCCTGCTCGCGGTAGAGCGCTTGTTCCAACTGATTTGTCCATTCGTGTACCTGATGGTACATGTGGACGTATTGCTCCGAGGAGTGGATTAGGTAATGGCGATAAGCGGGCGCGCTTAATAGTCGTTGTTAATAGACCGTTATCATTTACGTTACTTTGAGCTACTCTAATAATTACAATTACTCCAGCGTTGGACCATTTTTTGGATTGCGAAGCTGGTGTGATAGATGCGGATTACCGCAAACCTCTTAGTATTATGATGTTCAACTTTGGCGACGAAGACTATATTGGTATTATATTTTACATTGTACTGTATGAAGAAACAAACGTCGTTATTAACATATTCTTGCAAGTCGTTGAAGGTGAGCGCATAGCTCAAATAATTCTTGGATGGATAGATACGCCTCCAGTTGTGGAAGTTTGCGGAAATTCGGCTGTAATGTTAAAAAAACACGCATGAAGTTTCAGAAGATATGCTAATGAATAAATTACTTACATAAATTAGCCACGAAAATAACGAATTTGTTCAAGCTGACCATCAGCAGTTGTGTTCCAAGTAAACTTTTTCGTGGCCATTTTCGTCGAAAACATTAGTATGAACACAGTTAAATTTATTCACGTTTTTAAATTTGCACACTTCTTTAGATCGTTATGTTTTCTGCTTGTATTCAAGATTTGTTTGTAACGTGCTCAATAGCTTTGTATAGGTTTCAACCCTGCCAGGTGCACATGGTACGTTCAATAATCTGTCATTATGTCCATCGCTCAACTCTGTCTTTTTACAGTAAGTAGAAACACAATATGGTCTCCGGTTTGTGAACTACGAGTTTCAATAAACAGTTGTTTACAATGGAAATAGGGTGGAAGGAAGGACTTGAGTTTTATTTGAAATCTCAATGCGACTAAAGAATTTCTTCTATTATAGTCGTCTTTCATAGCTCAGCTATAAAGCGATTCTGAAATAGAATAGTAAATAGAAAGTGTATTTTTTACACAAAAGCTTGTATAATATTAATATGTCCATCAAGTTGTTATCTGGCGTTTAATTCCATACTTAATCTATTAGTGTCCAAGTCACTGTGAGTAAAGTCAAAAGATTACCTTTGACTTTACAAAGTATTCAAATTGCTTCATGTAAATTTGTTGTTGTTTTTTTTTTTGGTATCTGATTCTGGTTAACAGAATCCTTTAATCTGTCAGTAGAGGCCAATGAAGAATCCATGTAGGTTTGGTTCTGTCATCGTTGCTGAATTCTGATAACCGTCAGAAGATAACAATATTTGTTGGCAGTTTACATAGAATATCACACAACTATGTGAAACAAAACTACAGTAATTTGTAGAATGAAGCGACGTTCTTGAACAAACAACGTTCGAGTTGTGGCAATTTTCTACAACCCATTTGTGTTATTTATTATAAGATTAATGTATATATCAAAAGTCAAAATAGTCAAGTAATAAATCTGGAATAGGAAGCTATTAAAACATACAAACTTCACAGCAATAGTAATAGTAATAGTAATGAGCAATATGATTATTATTGAACAGAATTATGGACAGAAGTTTTGATTCATTATAACTTAAAGAATATTTACTTTTTACTTACTATTAATTATTGTCTTAAATAATAGATATCCCTTTCATAGTTGAATTAGTAAACCTTTATTTTGCACAAGTTATTATTCTTGACTTTATTTGTAGAAGATTTTGATTATTAAGTAACGACTATATAAGCAGTTAGACTTGGCATCAGTATTAGTTTTAGTTAAGTCCCTTCTATTACTATGGGTTTTATTCTTGTATTTAGGATTGTAAAATAGCCGTTTATTATTTGATTAGACAGGCACCCAAAACAGTTTTTTATTTGATGTCTAATAATGCAAATTTGAATGTGTGAATATCCCAAACTCTTTACACGCAACATTTTGGTATCACCATTATTACCTGGCTAATTTTAAATCTACTTTATATACAAAGCAACTTGATATGACTTGGAACATTAACATTATATATTAATATGCATTATTTTCGATATTCAGGATACGTAGAAAAGAGGAATTATGTTCTATTTCTTACCAGACACTCGCGTTAGTCATTTGATCGTCGAGATCTCAATACGTGTGATGATAGTTCTAAAATTGACTATATACACTTCATTACGTGGAGGGTGTCGGGCAATGCGCCAGCGCGAGACCATTTGAACGCAGGAAGCGTGTTTACAAGGAGATGTTGGAGTAACAGTCTGCTTACTAATATTCACCGATTATACTCTGACCTTTTTCTAAACGCAGACTTTCATTAGCATCGACAGATTTTTATTCGTTCAATTATCCGTGGGTTATATCGAAATCGGCAATAGATTTCTGTACTATAGAATATAGTATTCTTTGTCATCATTTAGATGGAGCGATATATTTGTTTGTAGTTTTTGGCTGAACCAAAAATTGTCTAATGGGCCTTTATTTAGTAACATGAATATTAATCAAGTAACTTGATTTGTCAATGGTGATTTCGATTCTTCCCCAAAATTTGTGGATGTTTTTAGTCACTCGATAAAGGAAATTTTCAGAGGAAATATTAATTGGTAGTTAGCTTATGTGATGGGTAAAACGGCAGAACAAAGCAACGCAACACACGGAGACAGTAATGAGATACTAAATTAGCTCATGCCACAAGTAGATTAGATGAAAAATTATATGCGTAAAGACGGGTGATGTGTGAATCATGATTATATGATATAATTGATTAAATGCATGAAATGACGGATAGTATCATTACGATTTTCGCCACACCTTAAAGAACAATGACTTTCCTTGCTTGCTCATCAACAATAACTATTTTCCATGTCCATCGTCCAGGAGAGCTTTCTGTGTGGTGATTTGTTCTACATGCTACCAAGTATACAAATAAATGATTTAGTTAAATCGTCATACATTTATTCTATATATGTATATACATTTGCTATGCCCCATGCATACAACCGATGCATTCATTTCCCCGTAAATTGTATGCTCTGTTCTATTTGATTTCTCCGGTCATGGTCTCTTATGTAAGCTGATAACGAATTTTCCCCAGAAAAAGATATCTTGCGTGGATCGATTATACACTCTTAACTTCAAACGAACTTGTCATTATGCAAGCCTGTAAAGGTCGAATGTTAGGGTTGAGGAGCGCCGTCAGTCATTTGGCGATAGCGTCCAAAGTACTCTCGGACCCAGAATAAGAGTTGGAGTAAAAATTTTATTGTCTGCAACAAATTCGGCAAAGTGGGCCTTAAAAGGAAAGGTTCAGGGGTTAATTTGGGCACATATATAGCAAGAATCATTGGATGACAGCAATGTTATAGTTTTCGAGGTTTACGATATTGACATTATGCTTTATAGTTAATTAACCTTTTCTGTGTATTCTTGAAGGCGTAAACAGTTTTGGTTCCACTAGCGATAATGATAACGCTAGGAAGCAAACAATAACGAATCATTAGGTCATTAGGGGGTTACTGATAACATACAAAGACTAGTCCAGTTGTGTATTCGGTTTTAGGAGTTGGATTTTTCCCTCCACAAAGCAAAAAGGTAACGTATTGCCAAGAAAGCATCTAGTGGCTGTGCTGTGTTACGAGATTAAAAAAAAATTTTTTTTTGTTATGGCAAGAATAATGTTTAATTTTTCGGAAAACCCCAAGGCGTTGTGCGATTGCGTAAAGCGAGTTACCCTAGTGTAAAGTGATGATATCTTTTCCAATTTGTACTTTACTAACAATATTAATACGATTGAGCTGGACAACTTTTATTTACCAATTACTATTGTTATGCAAAAAAGTATTACTGTACTGCCATGAGGTGATTTCAATAAACTGTCAAGACCTTTTATCGTGTAGTCGTAACACAACAGCGAGAAAATATTATACGGCAATCAAGACAAAGTCATCCCTTTGGTATCCAAGATAAGAGCAGTACACGAACAGATTAAGTGAGTTTTGTGGACTTGCAAGAAAATTCCAGATAACACAAGATGAAATTAAAAATTAATAACAATATAAATTATCTACTAGGTTCTTGTCAATGAATAAAATCAAACAAGGTAAGGCATGAGAACCAATTACGATAGTCACATTGACTAACAATGTATTTAGAATATAACAATTTGCTTCTTTAAGTCAGCATTGAGTAATTATAATTTAAAGTTGCTGAAATTGGAAACGAATATATTGTATACGTATCAAAGGCTTTATTGATTCAAAACTAGTCTATCTTTATCATAAATGCGTCCGTCACTTAAAAATATCTTGTTTAAACGATTAAGGAATATTGGCCGATATTTACATCATTGATTTGTAAATATTTGTATGTTTAACAGAATGTAATAGTAAACTTAAATTTATTAAGTTTATCCGTTAATTCGGCATTTCGAAACTTGTGCTAATTTGTATTTAACCATTATAATTAGTAGCTTTAACACTGTTGCCAGCTTTTGTGAGTATTTCCAAAGTCATCTATCTTTAATTTTTTTCAGTGAAGAGAGACATCTATTACCTGGCCAGCTAGCCTTAAGACAACATTTGTATCGAGGGCTAATAACCTGGTTCTAATTTACTGGCCATCCTGTGAATTATTAACTTGGGCTATGGTGATACTCATACAAATAAATGGCCTCAAGGAAATTTCAAACGTTCCAAACTCACATAAACTAGATTGCTTACATGGATGTGAATATAGAATGTAATAGTGTCAAGCAACTCCATTTCAAAAAATGTTTGACGTTTCCGAATAATACGGTAAATTACACCAACATAATTTGTGCAAATGTGATATTATTATGAAAATGCCAAGCTAGATGACGATTAATAAATGGTGAGCAGCGTAACTTTAATTATGATGTAAATTTACTTTGTACCAAGTAATACTGGGTAAAGAAAAAGTCACCTGTCATAACTATGTTTGACCAATTATGGTATGGATCGGTTATCAGTTCAAATGACTTTATTAGAATCTTGCATAAAATCTTATCAGTTTGTATATGTTGTACGTGCACCGAAGATCGTCGGTCGAGAGCGCCAATGTACAGTATGATATATACAATATGTGACTTATACTACATATCACATATATATTGAGTATAATATGCAAATGCTAATTATGTATACACAATTGATGTGGTTACTTGCATGACACGACGCATTTGTGTTTGACCAAGTGACCAGGAAAAACTACTATTGGCCTGTTTTTCCTATTGCATAGTTAAGACGGCAAGAGACAATGCGTTGCCCGTGGCATTCGTGACTTCCACATTGCTATACAAATATTCCCACATGACCGAGCAATAATATCACTAGGCAATAGCTCTTCTTGAAACAGTCGCAAGGTAAAATCTGATTGGTTCTGTATGATTCATGAATATCACCAATCACGTAAGACATTAATTAATTGATATGTATTAGTTAATACAACTGTTTTGAAAAATCAGCCAATAAATCAATACAAGCAGAAAATAAGCTTTTTTTTTTTCTTTTCACTTTTCCATCATCAAAGTTTTGTGTATACATCATGCTCAAGCAATGTAACTCTCTCAGCTTTGCATCCTGCGTACAACTGATTGCGCCCATTTCTACTTTTACCGATCTATTTAATCAATTGACTTTTTATGAATTAATTGCTCATTTGCTTAATTACGTATTCATTATTCAACGCGCATAATTACTAGCACAAGAAAGTCACCCCACACTCGCCTACATTTTGTTTATTATTTATTATTATTTATTTTCTTTTTTTTTCCTATTACTTTTACATTCCCCTGCGTCGCTCCGCAAACGACTGCATATCTTTCGGTCCGAGAACTCTTGTGCAGCCCGCTTGTTTTCCGATTCTGTATGCAGTGTAAGCAGTGGTTAAATAAGGAAGTGGTGTTTTGGGTTTAATTTATGCGAGCATCCAGATGGTGGCGCTAAACTGTGAGAAAGGGGGGTGTTTGTTTGAGCAAAGAGCGGGAAGAAAAAGACAAAAAGGAGGGAAAAAGAGAAAGAAAAAAGACAAAAAAGAGAAAAAAAGAGAAGAAGATAAGAATATAATGTAATAGAAAGCAATATTGTTTGTATCTAAATGTAGGGCAAGTCTATGAATGTCAATGATTGTAGTCGTGTTTTTTTGTGTTGGCGTCATCGGTCGCATACATGCATCAAATTATGCACCTGGTCTATCATATCAAATAAAATTTTTACCCCACAAGGAATGTCATTTCCGCCATCCTCCCATTCAGCGATCTTTTTTCATCGACGGCTTTCGATTATCAAACAGCCGAATAGTACTAGGTAATGTACATTCCCCAGGATTACTCCCTACATGAATTCTCACAGAAGAGATGGTAAATGATATCAAATCTCTTCTGTTTAATATACATATATCTGGATATTGTATATTTGATTGGGGCCTGTATTACATGATCATTTGGGGGGACTGGCTATGTAAGTTATTATGTTATTGTTTCACTACAGTTTTGCCGTTATATGCTGCTATGTTGTGATGAGGTGTAAAGTAGTACTCGGAAACTATATGGACTATCTTGATAAGATAATAATATTAGACATTTTTGACATAGTATCTCTAACTTTTTGTATTCCCTATTTGCTTTTTGATATACCTTATCAGGTGTCCTGTTGTTTATGGGTCACTTGACAAAACTCAGTCTCCATTACCTTTTATGGTTACCGCGATTTAATAAGCGTATTACAACAGACATAATCGTACGTTTGCACTATACTGTGTATATTAAAAATGACTCAACAGTTATGTAAACCATTATACACTATTAATATACTTGCAGCTATTATAAATAATAATATATTATAATTTGACAGCTAAACACAAGGAAACAGTTACTCGGAGCATCGAGAATATTCACGATCTAGTCTTGACTCTTGCAAGCTTGCTCGAAGCAAAAGGTCTCATTCCAGCCAGCTTGTTTTTTGATGTCACAATTGGGCGTCTCTTTGATTACACAAAAATAATCGAATAATCGAACAAGTATTTATAATATTTCAATAACAAAATAGCGATTAGGACACAATAAACACTGTAATGGGGAAGAACAATAACTATACAATAAACATTGAATTGGTGTTTATTTACTCATCTCATCTTTAACTCATCTACTTAACTTACTATATATCTTTCATCTACAATTTCATCTCTCCAGTCAACAATATCTTTCCCGCCACAATTAATGATCAAAATGCCCCGCTTCATTGTTTACTTGTAACCATTTTACTGAAAATAGTATCTAATATAGTTTGTCAACGGAACGCTTTTATGTTTCATCGAATGCGCTGCTGCTAGTCCCACCACCTCCCTCCCCAAAATATGAACCTAATCTTGATTAATATTAATAACGAAATCATACACAATAAATTTGTTAGCTTATACTTTTAGATATTGTTCATTGAAAAAATAATATAGCATTTGCACCCATTGTCAATTGTAAAACCACTTCAATGACAGACTCCATAAACTCTATTTCGATTGTAACACTTTTTAGTTTAATAGAATTTGACAGCTTGATAGCAACGAATTATTAAATACAAACACAGGATTCTAAAAAAATGCTCATTTATAACTCTCGTCATTATTGGTTGCCTGCTTCATTTCAGTTCTCCGCCCACCCCCCTTTTTCTTCCCCACTTGGTTTCAATTTTGGTTACGACAATAGTAAGCCTATCAAAGTTAACCTTTTTGAATGTGGGGATCTTCCCGAGTCGATACCCTATATTGGCGTAGAAGCTACCTAGAAAGTTCAATTATTGCATATGTTGGTAATGTAAAAAGGACATGTTTTAACAATGAAACATATAACGGTTACTTAAGTAAATGCCGGTTGATCACCACTCGGCATTGTCATGACGACAGTACATTGAAATGCACTTGAATATCTCATGCTTGCTCGAAATTGAAGTAGAAACCCTTTGTTTTAATTTATACATTATCGGTCTTACTTTGGCGTTTACTCTCACTCCATCGGTCATTAGCTCGCTTCGCTACGACGTACTATAATCTCGCAAACTCCCGAATGGAAAAAGGTCGTATTCTCTATCTTTGCCCCCCCCCCTGACAAACAGGTCTCGAAACAGGTTTTTTTGTGAAACCACCATAACTGATATAGGATCGTATACATAACTAAGCCACTTATTGACTGTCCCCCATAGTTTGACAAACGTGAGATATGTGAAAGGTATTATTATTGAATAGGTGAGAAGGGGGGTGCGAGTGGTTTGTATTTGTTTATTGTTGATCCAGTTGCTTTTGTGATTGGGAACTGTTGCCTGCTTTATCGCGCAGGGAGGCCATAACTGGTCTGTTATTACCCGATTACTCTTCAAGTATACTATTCTAAAGCACGTTTGTTCTTTCTTTAATGCCGCAGTTACTTCTTTTCGAATTCTTTTTCTCGATCACGTTTGCCAATAAGTCAACTATCCATCATCCATAGCTGTATTGTCATATCGATCTTCTCCTTACTAACATCAGTGCGTCTGAGTAACGCATAGCATAACTTGTCATTTTGCTGTCAAAAAATGACCCCATATCTGGGGGGAATGCTTTTTTTCTTGTAGAGAGAACGGTGAAAACATCAAACAGGTTTTTTTTTTCGCATTGTGTTTGGGATGCGAGAAACAGGTTTGAAAGCAAATTTGGGTTGATTTGTTAACTAATGATTGGTACGTTTAGGAGAAAGAAGACTTTTTAATTATCCGATAAAAGCGCTGTTCCTGCAAGTCTTTCTTGCATTATTAACAGTATAATTGTCATTTATTACATTAAGTTTATAAGACACTTGGCATGAAACACTTGTATTTGAACCAATAACTCTCACTTCCTGCGCCGTGCCTAATAAAGACCCTCAAAATCTCACTTCCTGCGCCAGTCTACACAAATTGCATATATTTTTTTTGTACTAACATTCACACACACATTTCTCACTCACACACACACGCACACACACACATACTAATACGTCCCGGACTTTGTCCGTCTGATGTGTCCCATTATCTCCGAAAACTGACTGGTCATCTAAAAAGAGAAGATAACGAACAGCAGACACGGGTAACCGCATGTGATGATGAGAAATGGTGCTGAATATCAAGTGAGTGATTACCATAGACATTATTTTATGGATTACATCACCAACGCCTTGCATATACAAAATTGGTTTTAGACAAGTTTCGACGCCAATTAAATGCATTGCGGGACCTCAAGAAGACAGAATTGTAAAGAGAGCAGCAAACCCTATACTAGAGACAAAAATGTTTACGATTCAGCAAAGCGTCAGTGATACTACATTTCGACCCTCGTCAACAAAGATGCGAATCGCGTGAATTAGTTGATGACAAAGAGGACCCGAGTTCATGCGCGACATACTCGGGACACATTAAAACGTCTTTTTATTTTTTAATAATGATTTATAGACTTGGCTTAATATAAGTTAGCGAGAGAATGTAAGACGAACGTGAGAAAAAAAACCGATCAATAAAAAATAGGAAATGATTGGAAAGGGGTTACGTTCTTTCAATGCGTGGGTGTTGAAACGATTCGAGAATGTGTTAAAAGTAACTGTGTAATATTGCGGATCCTTACTTGTTGTAAAGTAAATCTAGCCTAAATCTATTGCCCGACTGCATTTGACACATACGGAAACTTCCGTTCAATGGACTCTCTCCCATAACAATTACTCACCTTTTCTTCTTGGTCCCTCGTTCAATGCACTATTTATACGCTCGATTCTTTAATAGTAAATCAAGTTATATACAGTGATAAAACCAATATCAATTATGAAATGTCTCCTGCGCATTTCAGTTTATATTAAAGTACTAGCACATGTAAGCAAGCCACTCTAGCTGATGATATCGCATAAAACAAGCTGATTATCCTGATTGTTGTATGCAAGCAAGAAGTATCTATGAATTTATTGCGGTCTCGTTCTTCACGTACACATGAAATCTAACCGTCTTATCGTCAATGAGTCATATGATGGGAATTGGGTGATATCTATCAAAAGAGATAAGAATGGAGGGGGAGATTAGAGAGTAGGGGTGATCGAAAATGGAGGGATGATCGCCATATAAATAAATATACACACATACTTACATCATACATACATAACATAATAAATAATAACGTACATACATACATATATACAGACACACACACATATTCTTTCCGTTTATTCGGGGGAGGTATTTGCTAATGAACTATGGCTTATTTTTTCATTATTCTTGACCGCGGGTTTCGATTGCCTCTGCGTTCGCTTTCATTCAATGATAGTAGCAAGCAGTCATTATTTCAACCCCAGTTCAGTAGATCTATATGATTTGTTACACTGGGAGGCAAGGGAAGAGGGGGTTTGCAGACTCTTGCTGCTACTGGCGGGATGTACATATTTTAAATATATGCGGTTTTTAATAAAGTTAATTTAATATTGCTGTCATATATTCGTTTTAATGTACTTATACACAAACCATCTCTGTTTATCAAAGGCGATTTTTTTGAAATCTATTTTCGCCCAAACTACTGATTGTTAATTGGATTTTTTATAGTTTTTATGGGGCGATTGTAACCTTTTAGGAAGAAGGCGAACCTTTTTCTCCGCAACGATAAAAAGAGATACTTTTCTTTTCCCTCCATCCCCAGGGCAACTTTGTTGTTCGTAAAGAAAAGAAAAAGAAAAAAAAACCAAATTTCCGAAAAACGAAAAACAAAAAACAAAAAAAAAAAAACTCTACTCGCCAATCTTTGATTACGGTATTGACTATCGTATCGAACTGTTCTACGTATTGCTTTCACCTACCTTCGGTATATAAGTAAACACCTATTCTTTGATTTCTTCGTTTTGGGGATATGCGCTCTTCTTTTAGAATCTAGCTTGTTACAAGTTATTTCAATTATTGGTTTGTTTACTAATTATTAACTTTTATTATTATATTGTTTGTGACTTAACAGCTTTCGTTGGTGATATAAAAAAGTAAGTTACAAAGCTTGTACTATTGCAGATGGATACTGTGTCACAACTGTATTCACTAGTACTCTTATTGTATTAATTTAATTTATATTGCGCTCAGCTGACAGTTATAAATACACACTTCATCCCAATTCTTTATTCACTCACAAGTTGATCTTTCGATCAATTATTGAACTATTTTAAAACTTCCTTAAATTTAAGATTATCAAACGCTACATCGTTTTTGAATTAGACGATGATATTTAATGAAAACAACTTAGAGATATAACTGACAACGCAAACATACATCAATCATATCCTCTCTAAAATAGATAAAAGAACGATATAAAAACACGACGCCTGAGGATCTCTCGCTACTACAAGAAGACAAAGCTTATTAGAACTGTAAATAAAGTTAAAATACCAAGTACACGAAAAGCAATATCTATATCTCTTGTAAAATAACTGCAGGTATCTAAAAAGACACGCGCTGCCGTATCAATTCTTGGACCAAGCTTCTATTATTTATACATTTTCTTTTCACAGATTATTTACCCAACTGATAAAATGGAACAAATTACTCCTGCTCCGACCGCAATCGCCTCAGTCGACTACCTTGGCCATACTTACGCCTGGGACGAAAATGACCTCATCTGCACTCATAAAGAGATTACAAGACAACTCGCCGATGTGCAGAAGAAGATTCGGGCTGAAACGATGAAGCAACCGGAGAAGAAAGATGTTAAAGAAAAGCCTTTGTTCGGAAGCAAACTTCGAAAATGCAGAGGAGAAGAGTGGCAGTTGAGAGCAGAGGAGAAGAGATTGTTGAGACTGCAAAATGCGCTTTGGAGGCGAATTGGAAATGCTGTTGGTGCTGTTGCATTGGGAAACGAGCTAGTCGAGCCCAAGTCTTTGAATTGGTATGTATTAACTATTAACGTGACCTGAGATATTTGGAAGACATTTAGGATGGGAAATGGCAGCGGTGAGAAGAAAGTAAAATGGTCATTTTCCGAAAGCGGTATCAGTGGGAAAAAAATTGCGTTACTTATTATCTATCTGCCAAGTGTTTGTTTGCAATTTTTATTGGTTGAGGGACCGTTGAATTTTTCCACTCTTCCCGGTATTTTATACATCATTGGTTGATATTCTTTTGCACGGGTCATAATAGCTATTTTGGGTTAATACAATACGGGTCTTTTGAATTCCATCACTTCCATCTATTACTTGAGCGCTTGTTTAAGGGTCATATTTTTTAAGTTCGTGTGTCTGAGCACAAAACGTTCGAGGTCTTTATTTTTGGCACAGATTTATCGTACCTGTCAAATCAGTGCACGTAGATTATATTGATGATTATATTAGAGTTTTAATGATGTATTGTATACATCAACTTTATCCTGTACGGCGGTGACCATTTTATTTACTTATTTGTTCATCTATTTACAATTGATAAGATTAGACAAGGAGGGCGGGAATGGGGCGTTGGCCTATGTGCTACATGCGCTTTTGCCAATAGAATTTATGGCATACCGAACGACGATTCGTCCAACAAACAAACAAACACTGATCTATGTACTCTTATCTTTCCATATTAGGCAAAAGGAATGTGACGTACTCTGGCTTTTTGGACCTGTCTACCAATCAGAGAACTCATTCGAAGATGACGACGACAAGACACTCGTGGGTGACAGCACACCCAGCACACCTATGAGCATGTCATATCCTCCATCACTCGCATGCTCACCTACTGCATCGTCCCCAATGGAACTTGCTACAACCATCGACAATACCCGATTAGGTCTTGCCACTCCGTACCCAATCAAGCCAGCCCTCAAGAAACCAGTTGAGCATTCGCCCATCGACGACCTCCTTGCATATTATGCTTGCTCGATACTCAACAGTTCAAGACTCAACAGGGTAGCTCGTCGACACACTTTACCACGTGACAATATCACACAGGTTACACAAAAGAAGTCGTTGCGATTCAATCTAGACCAAGTGCAAGTACACTACACGCCAACACATTATAGTGTACAGTCAGCACGCAACAGTGGACGATCTGTTTTCCCCCCTCGATTAACTAGCAACAGTCAGATCACTACTCTTGGAAAAGAAAAACCAATCGTAGGCAAATGCGATGATTTCAATCAAATATTCCAATGGGCCAAGTCGCAAGTAGAGACTACTGGACATTTCACTTTATTTGATAATGAAAAACGCATTGTCCGAGGTAAATCGTCTTCGCAATCAACCAAGAAAACAAGGACTGTACCTGTGAAAAATGTCAAAGTCCAAGGCAAGACACCATCTGCCAAGACCGAACGATCACCTGTCAAGACCGAGCGATCATCGATTAAAACCGAGCGATCAACTGTTAAGGCCGAGCGACCGTCAGTGTCAGAGTCTTTTCTTAATAATGTGGTTTCTGATAATGTGGTTTCAAAGGCCACTAATCTTGCTGCTAATGTGGCTGATGTCATGAGCTGGGCAAGCTCGATGATATGGGATACTACTATTTACTAGGCCTCATTTAAAAGCAGTTATTTGCTGTCAATTGTGTGTGTACACAAAATGGAGCATTGAACAATATCTTTCAAATTTATCAAGGGTTTTTTGTTTTGTTTTTTTATACTTTCGTCCTTTCATCAGTTTGATACCGATGAAATGATGGATTTTTCTTTTGGTATATAACTTTTTAATTGTGAAGAACTTTTAACTGCTACACCACTGAGAATTTCTTTTTGATTTTATCAAGTCTTGTTGTATTTCTTGTATTTTATAATTCTTTCCTATCGTTGTGAGATTTTACTAATATCGCTCGCATGTTTCTTTCTGAAACACAATTTGAATGGCGAAGTTTAAATTCATTCGATTTACACTAATGACACGCGTACTACCAATCTTTTTTATTCGCCTTTTCGACTGAATCAACCACACACACGTTTGCGAGATTAATTCACGCATCATCACTTTGTATTTCTTTCTTTTTATTTCAGTTTTTTTGTTTTTTTGATTTTTGATTTTTTTTTTCTTGGCGCCTTTGATTTTATTTCTTTTTCTTTGCATTTGTACTTTTTGTACTTGATTCATAGTTTGTTATCGCTATGTTGTTATGTTTATTACATACGACATAGTTAATTTTACTGTAATATTCACCATTCTAATAAGCTTAATTACCGATATCCCAAATTATTTCCGCTCACCAATTTTGAATTCAATCCATCCTTTTCCATAAGCTGCAACACCTTTTTATCTACAGATTTTTCTTTGCATTACATGTATTACAACTGTGTTTGTGATATTAATCATTTTAACTTACCTTATGCCAAAACCACTTTTTTTTTTACCTTTATTTTTAGTGCCTTTAATAAAGTAATGAGATGAATGAACGAGTAATGAGAACCAAAAATCCAAAGTTCGCGCGATTATGATTATGGGGGGAATATTGGGTGAAAGTGGAATGAAATGATAAGATGCTGATCCATCAATGTTAAGCGAAAGTTGCACAAGAGTACAATTACATCATAATCTTAGAAGCATCCTTGCTATTCTAGCCAAAGTAGCTCGCATATTTATTTGTTTTCAGTCACACGCACAAAGTACAAGATGGAGGAGACTTGCGCAAATAGAATTATAGACGTGCCAATTACATGGCGTACTATTTATTTATCTCCACTTAGGGTTGTCAGATGATAGAGGACGACTTTCGTATTACAAATTAGAATCAGAGGTGCTACGCTGATACAATAAAGATGAAGTGATGAGGGAGATTTAGGATGTCTATGGAAGAGGAAAGGAGATGGTGAGAGGAACTTTTTAAAATACACTTGCCAAATTTTCATAATTGGTACAAAGATTGTATACTTATGACCAGATTAGCAACTTGTGATTATTTGACAACCATCAACAACCTCATCATGATCTAACTTGCATAATGGGCGTAAATATGATCTCTCATGTTGCGCTTCAAAAATAAGCTGGATTGGATGATATAGATGATGTACTTGCTGGGTCTCAAGTGGAAGTTTTCCTTGTACTCTGTATTTTCAGTTTTTTATGAATGTGCTATCGTAGATTCAGTAATCTTGCTATACAAAATTTTTATTGCACTAAAATTTCGTAGAAATTGCAATAGTCTCGCGCTTCTATCATACCATACTAATTGTCTTAGAGTAGTTGACCCTCTTGCATGGCATAGAGTATATCTCTTTCGACGCGACACTCGGAGTTGGGAGATGAGAAATCTACGTTTATCACACTACTATAACATCGACCCGAATGATGTCTACGAAACGCGCATACTAATTATCGTATCGATAAGAGCTTTGGGCGCTAGCATGAATTTCAGAGCTTATAAGGTGTTCATTACTTGAATTAATCTCAGCTTTTGTTCCTTTATTGACGCATATTCAGTGGAATTTACAGGTAACACGTATCCGCAACAACGATTATCAAAATCACCCCGAAGCGAATGTAAAAACGTAGGGGCGTGCGCCAACGATGGGACATTGTTTAGCGCAAGCATTTGCCATTGCAATAAAGTTACTCTGGAGAACCGTACTCCACAAGTATGATCCAGTGAATTGTCCGACAATATCCAGTTATGTCATACTTTCTCATTATAAACGGGCGGTTATGTAAATAGCCCGGAGAAACCGCAAGGTTGGAGATTGTAACGAACAACAGGAATATTGATTAGTATGCTGATAATAACGTTCTCCTTGGCTTATTCTTTGGCCACAGAATTAACTCTTCTTAATAAGGATAATGTTTGCGAACTCCGCCATAGAGATATTGTTTTTCTGCCATTTAAGAAATTTTTAGGAGAGGGACTAGCAAAGTTGGGCTTGTGTTGTCACCTTTTTGCCGCTTGCTTAAAAATGTCAAAAAATCTTGCTTTGATATCTGTAACACTTCTCAATATTATACAGGGTGGCTGAAAAGTTTTGACAATATATTTATTTCTTGAAAATGTACAAAATAAGTCACTACATCCATTTAACCTTTTTAAAGACTCTTCCTTTGGTATACTATCAGGCACTGCCTGAACAGCTTGTACAAGGTTTTTAACATTCCGAAACTTCCTTCCGCCCGGGGGTTTTTTTATTCTGGGAAATAGAAAAAGTCATAAAGAGCTAGATGTGGCATTAATAGGACTTTTTCTCTCCCTAGTATTAGTAATATGTATTTCAAATATCTTTCATCTCTGCTCTTTCAATATTCCCATCAGAATTAAATGGTGGTCTTGTAATCACCAGACTTTTTTGGTAAAGTTTTTTATAAATTGCTAGTAACTTTTTACTTTGACTATTTTTAACACATTGGTTTTGGTTTTGGGCTTTAATTTTAGCTCATATTGTTCCAAACTCTTGTTTTCTTTTTCAAGACTTGCAATTTCCCTGTTCTAATCAGAAGTATTTAAATTGGTCAGATTTGGTTAATTCTCTTATTAGTCGAACCAATACTATCTTTATAATATTAATATGGAATTGATTTCTTCTTGTAAGCTTGGTTGGTTTTTTGAGTACTGGTTTGTTGAGGTGGTAGGGGAAAAAATTTATTATTATTATTATTATTATTTGGGGGGGGGGGGCTTCTCAGCAGATATTATATTTTCTTGCTCTCATTAATTTTATCTTTTATAAATTACATGTGCGAACAACTGCGGGAGAGCAGACATTACTTTCGCACGGAGTGAGGCTTCTCCTACTAATAGTTAAATATCGGTTTACAGTTAGTGACCTTTACATTAGGCTTTTCCTACTAACGACTCACTGCGTCGAGGAGTAGACACTAATCTTGGATAAGTAATTGTCCTATCGTTGGATTAATTCGCGGTTGGGTTACAATGGTGTTTTCAACTATAACAATAATAATGCGCATCGATATAACAACTAATTATCATATTTGCCACGGGCGCGGGACAAGAGGCGATTATTCTTAATCGATATAGGGATTAATGGCTTCACAACTATACCGATAATTTTTAACAATGTATTTCAGAATATAAGAAACTACCCGTTTAATAGAAATATTTACAATAAAGGAATCGAAAGAATTAGAACACTATGATCACATAAACACGCACTGAACACACATCCCGAAACTAACTAAAATCTACGCTGCTTTTATATCTTTTGAGCCACTATTTGATCTAATTTTAGCAACGTCTAACTACTGCTATGATTATTGGCTTGACGCTTTTCGACACACATGTCGCATCTAAATGGTGTATACACTGATAGAATATGTTTATCGAATTCTCCTGTCTTACCATCTCGGAGTTACGCAGAAATTAGGGAGGAATATACGTTAGAATTAACATTAGTCTCCACACACAACACTTGATTTTTTTGTTTTTGTATTCATTATTTCTTTATTTTTCTCTCCTGACAAGCCCTCTGTTTACTGATTACAATATTTTCTAATTTTCCTGTTTCCCTATTTAGAACTCCAGCAACCAATTCAACGTCTAATTTAGCTTGGGCTAAATAAAATTTAAAAGATAACCACCTTTTTGACCCCATTTCGAATCGGGCTACGGGCCATAACATACGTGGGGTGATTGAAAAGTTTTGATCGCGTGATTGTATTTCACAAACGTACATAATGATTTGCCAGCAAATTAAACAAGTCCTTCAAAATAGTTTTTTTAGTTCTTTATACAAAGTTTCTGCCGTCCCTTCCAGGATTGGTACTAATCCTTGGATTGCTCTCAACAACTGCACTGAAAGCTACCATATACACAATTAACGTTATTATAACTCTTCCTGTCTGCTCTTTCTCGGCCTGAAAAATAAGAAAAATTACAGGGAAACAAATCTAACCTGTAAAGAGAATGAGATGCACTTGCTCTGTTATAACAAGTCTATAACCAAGTGATGCTCGTGTGGTAGTGCATTGTCAGAACATTTTTGCTCTGTTTTTCTGCTCCTGCTTTTTGGTTAATATTTGCTTATAATGACAATTCCTATGCTATTTTCTAATTCTCGTGTTCTTATATAAGGGTTTTGTTGACCATTTCTTCAATTGCATTGATACTTATTGGATCTTTCTGAGCATGGGGGGGGGGTAAATATTTTTCCTCCATTGTCAATTTATTAATCCACCGTTTAACTGTCACAATTGAACGCTCCATGCATGTGACAAAAGTTGATGAATTTTCTCGGCCTCCATTCTGCTCTACCAGCAAGTAAAATGAAGAATCTACGATTTTTATAGGCACGTAACTGAAGCCATTGGTTTTTGATATCGAGTTTTTAAATTAAACTTCTCAAGAACCAGTAAGGTAACTGTAATAAAAAATATTTTTTTTCAAGCGATGTTTCGAACCCACACTTTATTTCTATTCTTTTAAAACTATTTACTATTTTTCCTTTTGAGTAAAAATTAAACAATTAAAACTTTTCAACCATTCCACGTATACGTTTGGATTATTCAAACATAAAAATTACCTAATTAATAAATAAACAGAAAAGAACGAAAAACCATCGCTATTGTTTGTTTAAATTTTTAATCCTGAGACAAATTGACCATATTAATATTGTTATTCTGTTCTAAGGAATTACATAAAATTTGGATGCTTTCTCTAAAGCAATTTTTTAGATATTGATGGGCCGTGTCCTCTTCGTCATTATTGTTTTTCTTGAACTGCTGTATAAACATTTGTTTTAATTGCAAGAACGTCTTTCTAATTATCAAATTATCAATACATAATGAGGTGTTTAAATTGCAAGAACGTCTTTTTTAAATCATTAAAAGAAATAGCAATAATCTGTGAGTAATAATAATAAAGACAAAATGTTATTGGGCTACTAAAATAGTAAAAATCTTTTGTAGATTTTTGTGATCGCGTGAATCCGACTTATCGAGAGCCATTTATCAGTATCTTACAGCTTAACGAGAGTTTATGCAGTATATGTCGTCCAACTTATTGAGAAAGTTTTAAATATGGGGGAAGCCGAGAGATTTTGTCCGACTTATCGATCCTCATCGACAATTTTCTTTGTTGCTCTGCTAATTTCGTATGTTTGTTGTAATACTTTTTGCTCTAACTTAGCCGTTCTTTGTAAAAAACAGTGACACGTATCGCATAAATCTTTCGTGTGCTTATAAGGCGTTGATTGGTGCCACGGCTTGCAAAATGCATTGTATTGTAACAATTTCAACGTGCTATTGTTTTCAAGACCTGCGATAAAATCGCGATAGACCGATTTATAACTCGGTTCGGCTGGCAAGAGTATAAATGATTGAGTAATTCGGCTGACGTTTCTACCAGAACTTGGTGGTCAGCACATTTCTCGAGAAAACTGTTCACTGCTGTATGTAACATCCATGGTAATTTTAGTTTTCTATCGCGACACACTTTTTACGTTACCATAAACACGCGGTATATTCCCATTGGTTTCTAAACAAATGCGGCCAATTCCTAACATATTGAGATACAGTGGTGTTCAAAAAAAAATAAATGGTACAAACATTTATTATTTAATATGGGATGCGATCACCACTGTTTTCTATAATTAGTTCACATAGATGCTTCATCAAACCTATTGAAATATTGTCTGATTGTAAATAATAGCCCATTACATAAGCTTTGTTTTGATCCATTAATTACGCGTTTATTTTGAAAATTGACCGAGTTACATATATATAATTTTTTTGAATGTCTTCTGGCAAAGAGGCGTATGACAATCCCAATAGTAAAAGTTTTTTTATTAGTGTGCGTTTTTTTTTAAGACGTCGGTTGGTCCACCTAATATGTAGAAACCAATTATCCCAAAGATTTGCATAATTCAATTCATTCTCATCATAACGATTATCGCTGGCTTGTTTATTAATGGTTATATAAGCAGAACATTTTCTATTAAAGTTTAATCTTCAACTTCTCAGTTTGGTTAGGTAATGTATCTACATACCTTCTCTTGAACAAAACGATTGCAAGTTTTTCTAAAGCATTCCAACTTCAGCACTTTTTCTCAGTTACAGTAACTCTTTTCACACACTTATTTCTGTGAGGTGCCATTGATTCTGATGAGTTTTATTATGGTAAATTTGACCAATCACATCACTCTGTGAAGGAATTTCAAAGTAACCCCCTCAAATAGTACCTCCTCTGCACACAGCACCCCAGGTACATCCCCCTGGGTACAATTCAAAAACTTGGGGTGTACTGTGTGTTACAAAAGTCTTTGGACAAATAGCAATAAAATTAAAAGTCTCACTGTCTCTTCCGATTCTGCGTGAACATGACCGGCCAATTCATGTTAATATCATAAGAAAACACATTTCTGAAGCCATATATTGGTAGGAAGTAGCAGCTCCAACAAAATCATGATTCTAGACATACAAGCAACACAGTCAAATAATTCCTTTAAAAATATGATTTGACTATTATGGATAGTCTTGATCTAAATCCTATTGAAAGGCCATTGTCAAGGGAAGAGTGGAGAAACGACAACCATGAAGTATTGCAGAATTATGAT